CAGGGGCGGGGGTGTTTTGGCGGGGCCGAGGGTCGGGTAGCCCCGCGGCGGGGGTCCGGGGGGGAAACCCCTACCCCGGCTTGGGCCCCGGGGATCCCCGCGTGACAACCCTGGTTGACACCCTCATCTTAGGATCAACATAGGCTAGCAAAGCTTTCAACTTCTGCTTATCTGACCAACCGTGGCTCATCCCAAAGACATCATAGTCCTTGGAGAACTCTGTTACTTTGGTCCTATCAAAGCAGGGTATGTTCTCCGGAGGTACATTGGCTTTCGGAAGATCTAGTCGGACATTCATAGTGTCCATTCCGGTTTTCATAACCTCATCCGGTTCAGCATCTCTCGAAGAACCGTGGTAGTCGTCACTTCTCCGGCCCCGGCGAAGGAACTAGCACGGCTCTGTCGTGCATTCGGTCCTTTGACCATCCTGTCTAACTTACTGGTTAAGCTCATATTTTCTTTTGGAACCTTTTCTCTCTCAAGATTGCGTTTATAATCGGTTCCCAGTTCCTGCCGTCAGTAAAGTTTTCCGGCAATAGTGGCTCGGAAAACCTATCAAACACAATCGACGTTAAGTCATTAACTACAGTGTCCCTTTTCTCTCCAATTTTTCCCTCTCTTGGTCAATTATATTACTAATCCAGTTTCGAAAAGACTCACGATATGTCCCTTTTTCCCTCAATGAAGGGACATAAGGCCGGATATCGTACTCGCCAGTGTCGAGGAACTTCACTACAAGGATATACGCCTTCCTAGGGGCATGCCTCTCCCTCAAAGGATATGCAGCACTCTATCTTATAGGGAAAAACTCTTGCACTGGAAAAAGGAACTAGGGTGTCCAACGATGCCGTGATTGTCGGGCAGTAACCAGACGTTACCTATTCCTTAACTTCTCTTAAGATCACCCTTTATCGACCCTCATGACTGCTCCTTCGCCATCTCAATCCTTCTTCATCTTCAATTTGTCTTATCCTTTTCAGTGCCTACTAAGTCTACCAGCCTGACCCTTTTTCGGGCATCCTCTTGCGATAGCTTGTCGTCAACACTAATACTGCACCATTTCCTATCTCTTAAAACAACATCAAGGATAGGCTCTCAATTCTCACCGTTGATGAAGCTATTTGGAATGGGAGGACTTGGGAAATTCTCATACTCAATAGGCTCCACACTCCAAGTAACTTTCTTGCCTTCTCGAGTTCATCCCTGTATTTATAGATATAACTGAATGCCCACTCGTGGCACCCCGTATGTCACCGCCAGATCTTCCTAGTCACCAGTGTGTATATACGTACATCATACTCATCGGTCTTTAGGGAGCGAGTCACCTTCTTTTTTGCCTCAGGTATGGCTAGGACAATGTATCTCTCAATCGCATAAGGAAATGCCCCTCCGGGAGGCGTCCAGTCTGTCCTGTCAGTGAAGCTATCCGTAGTCAGAAAACTAGGGAGTCTTTCAAACTACCTAATTTGTTTTCCCCAGGTTACTCTTTCACGCAAACTTTGAAGTAATTTTCTTATCCTCAGATACCCTTGGTAGTCTTCTTCTTCTTTTATTCCTGCTTGAGCATAAATCCTCACATCGAGTCCGTCGGTCTTGAAAAACCTAACCACTGGAATATATAATACTGGACGCCCTTCGTTACAGAAGTCATGCCTCAATATCTCGAACGGGTTGTCAGTTTCAGTCACTTTATCTAACCATCCTCTACCAATGGTAACAGTCGCAATCGACATGGAGTCTTCACATTCTATTATCCTTGTCGACGGTTGCCTTTGGTGCCTCCAACTAGACTATCCGCTAGACGTTATCGAGATAAGATGGTCTGATCTCTCACATGTAACATCACTCTTCTGCCATCCGAAGTCTTGCAATCCAGCAGATGCCTAATCTTAGTCTGATCTGTAATTGCTCTAAAAGCAGCCGCTCGCATAAGCTCAAGAAAGTGCTTCGCCATGTCAATCTCGTCATGCCTACCCAACCTAGTGTCGCATCCTCTCACAACCCCGATGACAGTCGGTCGCTGCTCATTTAGGTAGACCTCAAAGCAAAAGCTCTCTCCATCATCGGGGTTGTAGACATCGATCGACATAGCTCACGAGACTCGATCCCTTAGTACCGCACTGAGGATTGGTCCCCAGTCCTTCCCGTTCGAGAAGCTAGCGGAAACAGGAGGACTCGGGAATCTCTCAAACTCTCTCGGCAAGACACTCCACGTCACTTTGTTTCCTTGTTGTTTCAACAACAGCCTTTCATCCAAGATATACTCAGCAGCAGCTACCCAACACGCATCGTAATCAATTCCATATGGCCTCACATCATAGTCATCCGTATCAAGGCATCGAACTACAAAGACGTACAAAATCACTGAGTCGTGCTCAAAAGTCACACACCGCTCCATGATGCATGGGAAAGCACCGCCACCCGTGATCCTAGTTAGTCCCTCTATTGCTCTCGTTATTGTTGACATGGCTACCTACCAGGTTTGCCTCCTCAATGTTGCTTTGATGATAGTCTGCCAATTCCTACCATCATAGAATCCTTTGGGTACCGGCGGCGTAGGAATCTTTTCGTAGATCTAGCTCCAACTCGCTTCTATCCCTTGCTGTCTAAGCTGATCCCGGTCTGCTTTGACACACTCCACTATGACATCCCAGTTGGTAAAGAAACTCGGATCCCGATCAGCCCCTTCAAGGACATAGGGTCGAATATCATAATCATCAGTGTCGAGGAATCTACAGATAAGCACTGCACAGTCGTTGTACTTTTCACACAAGTAATACATTTGACAAACATATAGGGAAAGACTCCACCACATGTGACACGAGTTAAAGCTTATAGGGCGTTATACTCTTCAGTCATTGCGTGGTTTATGACTTACAAACTCGTCAAGTTGAGGGCCCAGAAGCCCCTACAGACAAGCACATGCACAGTCGTTGTACTTTTTACACAAGTAATACATTTGACAAACATACAGGAAAAGGCTCCACCACATGTGACACGAGTTAAAGCTTCTAGGACGTTATACTCTTCAATCATTGCCTGGTTTATGACTTATAGACTCGTCAAGCCGAGGGCCCAGAAGACAAGTTCTAGCCCCTGCTTGCAAGCCTGAGTCGCTTCAAATAGACTCCTGCAAGAGGCCCCTCCTCTTGGGGCTCATCTAGCCGAACGTCTTTCTGACTTAAGTCAGGCCTTGGACAAATTGCGCTAGACTTCTGCCTAGTTTTGAATATTGTGACCTGGGTCTGCTCCCAGGAACTCAAGATTTTTGAGTCCCCAACAACGGCGCTATTTTTGTCGCGCCCCCACCGTTTCCAGAGCCAGGTTCAATGTCCCTCCCTGGATTGGCGGGCTGTCACGTAGGATTTTTGGTAAGTAGAAAGGAAATAAAATAAAGGTGCATTTAGGAACAACCTTCGTCACAATTAATCATACAGTCGAGTAGTCAAGTATATCCCTCCTACCAGCGGGGGCACGACTTAGAGTGAGGCGTTCGGGTTTATGGCCTGCACCTGACCCCGTATAAAGGTTAGATTCAAGGTCATAGGAGTCCCTGTTATCTAGGAGTCCTCCAAGGAGCCTTGAGTGTAACATGTGTAATGTAAAGAGGAAATAACATACATGCTACGAATGATACTGAAAGAATAAGAAGATCAGAAACCAGACTCTGCAAGAGCATGACAGACACGAGACTGCAAAGTAGTACACAGGGTATGCAGGGAGCAGCCATTGGAGGGCTGTTGTCACAGGTAAATCATAATAATGTCATAATACATCACAATGACTAGGAGAGAGTCTCAATCGACAATGATAAGTGGTACCCACTCGTGAGTAGGCCCTACTATCCGAGGCTCCACATCTGGTACACGCTGGCCCTCATCAATTAGAACCCTGGTGCTATCGACTCTGGGACCACATAGCTGATATACAGAGGTGCTGCTGGATCGATCTTGCTGATATATGCCATGCATCTAGCCATTTCCTCGTCTGCAACACTCCTGAGGTAAAATTCCTCCGCAAGGGTAATATCGATCGTAGCTCTGATCAATATCTCGATCCGTCCCCTCCTGTCAATGTAGACGTACGAAACCTCAATGAAACGGTCTTTGTAAAGGGGCTTTCGAAAAGCCTGCATAGCAAAGTCTGCCCCAACCAAATGACTGAATAGCAAAGTCTGCCCCGATCAATATCTCGAGCCATCTCCAAGGTATGGGACTGGACCTTCCCCCTTTGGGGGTCCGACAATCGCCTCGGCCTTAGGCTCGTCCGACATATAGAATTTAATCACACTCGAGCAAATAGCATGCGAGAAGATATGCAATCCTCCTCAATGTCGCTCTCTACCGCCACCGCTTATCGGTCTCCAACACTCAGTTACCACCAACAAACTCAGTCTCCGTGAGTGTCCCAATCGAAGTAGTCGTCGAGATCGATGTCGCTCACGCTACAAGAGTCAAGGTCAGACTCATTTGTCTCTGACCGCTGCACAAGTAGTGATTGGGACCCCGGATCTGGCTCTCTCTCTCGTGATCTTGCCTTGCTGAGGGGTTTGGGATTACACCCATCAAAGTCGAAGAGTACACCCCCGGGCGCTGAAGGTACGTGAGGGAACACCACATGCAGCCAATTATCCCTCTGATAGCTCTCCCTGCGAAATATGTAGTCTGCAATCCTGTCGTAAGTGGTGCCCTTCACTTCATCTTTTCGTGCTCCCTTTACCAAGTAGGTAATCACCAGCGTATGTCTTGAGGTAGGGGACTCATTGCCCGTGATGACGAAGCTTTGATGCCCCACGTGTCGATAGCAGAACTTCTCAATTAGTTTGCCCCACGTAGGGGCTGTCTCATGATGACAGGCCAGCTTGGACCATGGCTGCAACCCTGCGAGTGTAAATGTTCCCTCCAATGCTTGAGCCCGGGTGAACAGCAATCAACAACTCAGTGAAAAGGCCTGCCCGAGTGGGCATGGCTGCACAGCAAATAGCAACTCAATGTAGGGGCCCGACTAAACAGCAAACTACAACTCAATGTAGGGGCCCGCCTGAATGGGGCCGATTGAGCGGCAAAGTGCAACTCAATGTAGAGGCCCGCCTGAACAGCAAACAACATCTCAATGGAACCAATATCGTGAATGTGTCTCCGCAGCAAGTGGGTCAAAATATGAGGACTGGATCCGCCAGTATCATCACGGCGGAGGACTGATCAGCAAGGCATCGCATATGCAGGGACCGGTCATAAAATGTCGCATACACTGGGGCTGGACTGCGCAAAATTGTTTGTGCAGGGACTGAACCACAAATATCACCTACCGTCTGCGCAAGAACTGAACCGCAATTACTGCCTACGCAGGGACCGATCAACAAGAAATCAGCGGGATGGGATGCCAAACCATTTCATCAATGACTCTCAAGTGTCCATCTGAAAAGCACTCCGTTCCAACTTGATCATACTAGCAGGGCGCTCACTCTGGGGTCATCATCTCAAAAAGGGCGCCCACTCTCAAGTCAAGGCACACATTATATCAACAACGCCGAGCATGGGCGCACGTTAGATCATCATTGCCGAGCTCGGGCACACATTAAATCCGTTATACAAAACACGGGCGCGCACTAAAACATCGAGTTCAGGCTTGAGTGGATATTAAATAATCAAGTTCGGGCCTGGGCGAGCATTAAAACAATGGTGTCGGACCAGGGCGCGCACTAAACCAGCAGCTCTAAGCATGGACGCGCATTCAAATAGCAATACCAAGCATGGACGCGCATGGGCGTGCACTCAAAGTAGCAGTACCAAGCATGGGCGCACACTCAAATAGCAAAACCAGGCTTGGGCGCACACTCAAATAGCAATACCAAGCATGGGCGCGCACTCAAATAGCAATGCCAAGCATGGGCGAGCACTGCTATAGCAATACCGAGCTTGGGCACGCATAGGCACTCAAATAGCCACGACGAGCTTGGGAGCACATGGGAGCACACTCAAATAGCCGCACCGAGCTTGGGCGCGCATGGGCGTACACTCAAATAGCGATACTGGGCTTGGGCGCGCATGGGTGCACACTCAAATAGCGATACCGAGCATGGGCGCGCATGGGCGCACACTCAAATACCATTACCTAGCATGGGCGCACATGGGCGCGCACTCAAATAGCAATACGAAGAATGGGCGCGCATGGGTGCACACTCAAAAGGCAATACCCTCAACGAAGTGCGCACGGGTGCTCAGGCTCCCAAAATCAGCAGTATGCCCAAGGGAATGCGTATCAGCGCACTGGTTCAAAATCAGCTATCTGCCCAAGGCAATGTTCATTGCAGAGAGCACATGGGTGCACAAATCGGCAGCGGAGTGCGCATGGGCGCACAGTCTCAAAATCGGTAACGTCGACTGCAGAGTGCGCATGGGCGCACATATTCGAAAGTCGGCAATGTCAATAGCGAAGTGCGCATGGGAGCACAATCTCAAAATTGGTAATACCACAATGGAGTGCGCATGAGTGCACAGTCTTAAAATCGGCAAGTCCACAGTGGAGTGCGCGTGGGCGCACAGTCTCAAAACCAGCAAGTTCGCAATGGAGTGAGCGTGGGCGCGCAATCTCAAAACCAGTAAGTTCACAGCGGAGTGCTCCTGGGTGCACAGTCTCAAAACCAGTAAGTTCACAGTGGAGTGCGCGTGGGCGCACCACCTCAAACCAGCAAGTTCACATTGGAGTGCGCGACGACGCGCAGATCAAAAATCGTTAGTGTCAACAGCAGAGTGCGCATAGGCGCACATATACGAAATTGGTAATATCAAAAGCCAAGTGCGCATGGACGCACAAATCCGAAATTGACAATGTCAACTACAGGGTGCGCAAGGGCACACAGATTTGAAATTGGTGATGTTGACAGTACAGTACGCAGGGGCGCACAGATCCTGAAACTGCGAAAGCGAACAGTTCCCCGAGGCAGCGTTGACCGCTGAGGCGCACAATTCCAGAAACTACGAAAGCGAATAGTTCGTTGAGGCAGCGTTGAGTGCCGAGGCGCACGATTCCAGAAACTGCCAATGCACTGATCCGGACCGCAAATGCACACTGATCTGGACTTGCAAATGCACATTGATCCGGACTCGCAAATGCACACTGATTCGGACTTGCAAATGCACAATGATCCGAATTGTGACTGCACACTGATCTGAACTGCGAATGCACACTGATCTGAGCTGCGAGTGCACATTGATCTGAACGACGAATGCACATTGATCTGAACTGTGAATGCACACTGATCTGAATTGTGAATGCACACCGATCTGAACTACGAAAGCACACTGATCTG